TTCAGGGTGGACTTGAGAGGGACACTGGTAGGTTTTATATTCTTCCTTTAGTGGTCTGGACAAGTTGATTAACTTCTTTGTATTTAACTGCCTTTTTCTTTAGTAAAACGGAACTGAGCTGTCACATCTTGGGAGTTGTTGTGCAGGTTACTTTATCTGTCATGTGCTGCGATGTCTTCCAGGTCAGTCTGCGAAAAAAAAACATACTCAATTTGTAAGACATCAGGGCCAAAGAGGATGGATTTGAACAACAAAGTTGAGCTGTGTAGAGGGACAGGATGATGTTTCTCATTCCCTTTTGTGAGGAAGGCATCCACCCAGAGAGAATGGAAGGGTTGATAGCCAGGGAAAAGTAAGTGGGCATTGCAACAAGTCATAGATGTTTCTGCTCAAGACCTATTGGAGACTAGTTTCTGAATTACAGGATACCGTGTGTTGGAAGTGAATTCTAACTGAAGAGAATAAATCGTTGGTACTTTCATAAACAGTGAGTCAGAACACACATTTCTGTAACCGGCATTTCTCTTAAATTAGCCACATATCTAAGGAAAAAGGAAGACCAGCATGCGCGTTATGTCGATGCGCTCAGGGAAGCGAAGAACAGGACGGTCTTGAAACAGAACGGAGCGTTCCAAGAAACGATTCGTGTGGTGAATATCTTCAGATGTCTCCCTCCTGACAGGTATTGACTGCCTGATGTGCTGCTGGTTAGTATTTCTGTAGCAAAACCAGCAGTGCGCTATGAAGAAAATATAATATGGAAACATTAAGTGTACTTCTGGCTTTGTGATTTAGCAATTGAGAATGAAAAGTTGTTCTATAGGACGTTTCCTGGTGATTTTTGGATAAATCTATAATTATAGTTAAGCTGTCTGTAACAAGATACTTTGGGACACGTGTGTTGACCCACCATGAAGCAGTAGTGATGCATCATCCTGTGTGTGGTCACTGTTCCTCGCTTTAGGTGCAGGGAGCCTTTCGAGTTCTGTAGGCTAAACTGTTTTTTGGAAATGTTTTAGTGCTACGCACTTCTCGGCTAACATCTGACAACTCGTGGGAGTGGAAGTGAGGATTTTCTTTACTTGGAATTGGATTTCTAGAGTGCTTACTTAAAAATCAAACAGCTGTTCTCTAATAATTGCATAACTGTCCCTGAATAACCCTGTATAAACAAATCTAGGTATGGAAATAAGCTTAAAACATTAAGGGATGAGATGGAAGGGAAAGAAAGGAAAGTTCCTATATGCAGCAACCCACAAATTGCAGGGAAGAGAGAAAAAGAGCAAGATGAGTGAATAAGGGATAAGCTACTGAAATGACTCCCAAAACATCGTGTATTCTTTCTCTTCAGTAGCATGTAATTCCTTCTGCCTTGGTTTCTTAAATGGACTTGGTTTATAGCAGAACGCTGTCCCTGCTATACAGACAGTTAAGTAGTGTTTCTGATCATTGGTGCAAAACATCAGGTACTCTGAAATCTGCTGGTTTCCTACTACCTTTAGAAATGTAATGATCAGGAGCAAATAGCAGCTGCCTTACACTTGCCCTATTCCATAGAACAGGAAAAAGCTTATCCATTAAATTTTATATTCCCTTAACCTTTATGTGTGCAGTGATCCTCAGTAGTTTTCCGTACAGGTTGCCAAGCACGCCGTTTCATTTAGAACTCCCACTGAACTGTTGGCAGTCCTCTTGGGGAGAAGGTGGTGTCATCTGCTATGGGCACAGTCCGGAAGACGCAGGACCTCTTTGCTCTGACACATGGAGAGGAAGCAGGCGTTACTGGCCCTTCTGCTTTGTTAAGCCTCTCGGTTATGACCCTGCCATGGTGCTCTGGCGAATTCCTCTGCTCGTTGGTGCTAACGCAGCGAATGAGCCGCTGATAATTCCT